AATGCATGCAAATGGAGATGTACGAAAGTCATATGTCCAATTTCACATACTTCAGGAAGAAAAAACAAGAAATAATGCACAACAAATAGCAAGAAGGAGGTAAAGAGACATTTTTTCTAAAAAATATTATTACACTGAAGAACATATATAGCAATCATTTCTCTGGTCATATGGTAAAGGTAAAGGTTGCCCTTGACATTTAGTCCAGTCGTGTCCGACTCTAGGGTGTGGTGCTCATCCCCATTTCCAAGCCATAGAGCCAGGGTTTGTCCATAGACAGTTTCCATGGTCACGTGGCCAGCGCGACTAGACACGGAATGTCGTTACCTTCCCACCGAGGTGGTCCCTATTTATCTACTCGCATTTACATTCTTTCGAACTGCTAGGTCGGCAGGAGCTGGGACAAGCGACGGGAGCTCACTCCGTTGCGTGGATTCGATCTTACGGCTGCTGGTCTTCTGACCTTGCAACACAGAGGGTTCTGCGGTTTAACCTGCAGTGCCACCACGTCCCCCTGGTCATATGAAGTCAGAGCAAATTCACACTTTCATTTTGGAATTCAGATACGTAAAATATAGTGATGTTGCCATTTGAAATTGGTTAAGTGCAGTCATATTTAAATGACACGTACACGTGTAAATGGATGAATTCTTGCCACATACATGGAAACTGACAGAAAGCCAAGTTTGTTTTATAGAAAACCCAGCCATTTAAGGCTCTATTTACGACAGATGGCACTATGCAAGTCTTTTCAGTTGCTCAGCCCCGTCCCACTAAAATCAGTGACTAGGCAAAAGACTAAAGCAAATCAAGTCGGGATTCCCTCTAGAAGCCAAACAAATTGGCTCAACAGAGGCAACCGTACATTAGGCACACCATGAGAGATGAGAAAAACAATAATGCTCGGAAAATTTGAAAAGAGGAAAACCAAATATTATGAGATGGGTTGATTCAGGGAAATAAACGACAGCCTGTAGTTTGCAAGAGCTGAGCATGGCTGCTAATGACCATTTTGGTTCATTAGCCCAAGTTCTTAGGCATCAGCATAGCCCAAGAAACATTCCTCCGTGACTTCTCAGAGGGCATATAAATCCCAAACTGGGAATAAGTCAGACTAGTCACAGAAAATATCATCTACATTCAGGGAAAACATTCTCACAGTATTGCCTGGATTTTCGGAACAAACAGGAGGAGTCCGCTTAGCCAACCAAGATTTGTGATGGAGGGATTTCTGAATGCAAAACATCAATGGATGGTTGTGATTTTTTTTTATATTTTATGATTTTTTTATATTTGTAAGCCGCCCCAAGTAGACGCCGTCTAAGGGGGCAGGGTAAAAATCAAATAAATAAATAAATAAATAAATAAATAAATAAATAAATAAATAAATAAATAAATAAATAAATAAATAAATAAATAAATAAATAAATAAATAAATAAAA